GCTCTGACCTTGGCATTGTAAGAGTTCCTGGTGTTGGGCTTCTCTACACAGAACTGACTCATGGAATTCCAGCTATATTTTCTCACTTCCTCACCAACCTTCCAGCCATACACTCTGTATTAGTTTTTGTCTCTGTTAAATACTTGGCAGTGAACAAAGTCCCAGCTGCTGAAAGGTTTTCACTTAGGCGGGTGGGACCCAAAGATTACAAGATGTATAGATGCATAGCGAGGTATGGATATCGCGAAAGGAGAGTAGGGAATGAAGAATTTGAGAATTTGTTGATGGAGCACCTCAAGTCATTCATCAGAATGGAGTATCTKGAAGGACTTGACCAGGATGACAAAATTGCAGCAGTCCCAGACAGAGGARGAGAAGAAGAGATCCAATTCTTGGAAAAATCAAGAAGCTCTGGAGTAGTGTACTTGTTAGGACACAGCGAGGTCAGGGCTAGTAAGGATTCTTGTATGCTGAAGAGGGTGGTGGTAGATTATKTATATGATTTCCTCCGAAGGAACTTCAGGCAAGGATTCGTGGACCTGCAGATTCCAAACAAGAATTTGCTACAGGTGGGCATGAATTACCATGTATGACTCAATTTTGAAATGAAATGCTGCTCATAAACGTCAGTGGAGAATGTGTGTGGCATAACTTTTTTCTTTTTTTTTGCGTAAAATGGAATTTATTCATATAATAAGTCATAAACACTTCTAGATGCTTGGACACAAAATAAGATGTATATAATATTTGGAAAACTGAACTCTGAAATTGAAGATATGTTTCAGTTACCCAAATGAGATGCTCCTCTATTTTTCATATATACAAGTCAACTTGAATTTCACTGACAAAGAAAATTGATCAGGAATTCCCGGCATCCTATAGATCTCTTCTTTTTCAAGGAAACTAGTTGATCAAAAATTGCTTAGCATTATCGTGAGACATTGGTGTCCACCATAGAAAACTAAAATGCTATTTCCTGTAGAACTTGAAGCGTCTTCTGATGGACCTGAATGCAAGAAAAACAGAACTCATGAGTGTTTCTAAGGGGTAGTAGACAAAAACTCTAAATTCTTTTTAATTTCTCTCTTTTTCATCTTTTATTGGCACATCTTAGTCAGCTCTAAAAGAAAAGGAATATTGGAATTTAAATGTTCAACTTGATCATCTGTGTGTTCTCTCATGGGGTCACAGATGTTGTGTCAAGTAAATATGTGATAATCTACAGTATTACTGAGATTTCAGCAACTTGGAGTATTAAAATATGCAGCAAAGGTGCCTACAGATGCCCATTATGCACAGATCCCAGTATGTCTAAGCATGGACTGTATTGTCTCTTCAAATCTTTATCCATCAAAATGGAACACCAAAACATGTCTAGAAAAGAGATAAATGCAATTTGTTTTTTTATTTTTGGTGAAGTTGGCAGAAATTGACAGTATCTTTGGTTTGGTGGGTAAGCTGGGTGCCAAAGAGAGAGAGAGAGAGAGAGAGCTCTTGATCATCTTTCCTCAAAATTCATGGACATCCAAAATAAGTATGCAAAGCATTTTAAATGGCAAACATGCTACTCTTACCCATTCTAGATGTTGAGCTGTAATGCCAGATACATTTCCAGAATAAATACCACCCAGTACCTAACAAATCAATGAAGAATGATGCATCAGAATGAGGGGATGGAACATATACAAAAAATACATATATCAATTCATACATAACTAACTATAAACATGCATACACCATATAAACGGCAGCTGATGTTCCAGGACTAGAACTGCCCCCAACACCTTACCCTTTTCACTAGCAAAGTTTAATGCAAGGGTCCTTCAACAAATGCCGAAAGCCACGCTCCCCTTCTGTCTTCTATTACTTGGCAAAGCAAAAAGTTCAATGGATATCTTTTATGTGAGAAATCTATTACATGGCAGGATATGGTGAAGGTATGAATGAGAGAAGTGCCAGATGGACAATCTAGAATTACATGGATGATCTGGACTTCAGATTCATCATATCAGTCCTCTAGTAGCATACAATAGCTACTATATCTAAATAGAAGACATTTCCCCATACAGGGATCAGATATAGAAAATGGATACAAAATTTGAACCCAAAATGAAAACATCTTCAGATCACTGTTTTCCATCATTCCATATAGCATTTTATTAAAAAAAACAAAGATTCTAGGCTATTGTTCAATGACTGGGAAGAGCACTTTCCCAACTGCTTGCAATCAATCACGCCACGTTGGATCTCTGATCATTAACTGGTGGTTATCCAGATTCCAAAATGAAGTTTTTAGAAAAGGAAAGACACCTTTCAGGTTGGAGAAGGTATGGACTACCCAGTGTTTTAAAAGCACAAGGCACAAAAAAGGTGCAGGGATCAATTTGCGCCCAAGGCACAAGGTGCAAGGCAAGGCACGCGCCTTTTTGAAGCAAGGTGCAAAAATTAAAAAAAAAATGTCAGAAAATTCAAAAAAGTGCCAAATAGGGGGTTCTCGGGGATCTGGGGGCTCCAAAAAAAAAGCAAAAAAGCGTCAAATTTTCAAAAGGCGCATGCCTGGGCTGAGGTGCAAGGCACATCAGCCGCACACCAGGCGTGCGCCTTCTGAAAGGGTTGTGCCTAGGACCTAGGTGGCACATACCCTAAAATGCGCCTTGCCTGTACGCCTTAGGTACGCCTTTTTAATCACTGGGACTACCCACAAGGAGTTTTAGAAAAGAGTAGCTTCTTGGTGGGAGGAATGCAAAGTGGATGGTTGGGTAGGATTCCGGTTTCAACAAAATAAGCTAATTCAAGAGTTAGATGATTTGGGGGAATTTGGATGTATAGAGTAGAAGCAGAAGAGAACTTATTAGAAAGGAGAGGGAGAAGCTTATAATAAGGGAAGAAACCTTTTGGAGACAAAGGTCTCGGGTGAGATGGCTGAAGGAGGGAGACAATAACTCAAAGTTCTTCCATAGTTATGCTTCAGGGAGGAGGAAAAACTACATCTCAAAATTGAGGGTGGGGCAAAGAGAGAGAGAGGAGAAGGGAGAAATTTCAGAAGCCATTGTGCAATTTTTCAGCTTTACTCAAAGGATGGATCTAGTAGAACTCCTTTGAATACTTCAAGCTAGGAGGGACATAAGCTGTCTGAAGACAAAAAGATTTGGCTAGAAAGAAACTTTAAAGAACAAGAGATTAAGGAAGCACTGTTTAAGATGGATGGAGATAGAGCTCTGGGACCGGATGGGTTCCCTATCCTTTTCCATCAGTTGTGTTGGGACACAATCAAGTCTGATTTGGTAATTTGGTGGAGGTGTTCTCAGATTTCTACCTCTCGACCATTGTGAACAAAGGTAACAGCTTGACCTTTATCACTCTAGTTCCAAAGAAAGAGGGGACCTTGGAAGTTAAGGACTTCAGACCTATCCGTTTGGTGGGGATTTATACAAAATAGTAGCTAAAGTTTTGGTGACAAGACTAAAGGAGGTGCTGAAAGAATTAATTTCAAGCAACCAATTCACCTTTGTGAAAGGAAGACAGATTATTGACAGCATACTAGTGGCCAAGGTTCAAAAATTTCAATACAATACGCCTCGTATCAGGCGAATCGTATCATATCGGGCACTTCATGATACACCTATTTACAAGGGTTTCAGGAACCACCCGCTTTTTAATAAAAAATAGTTAAAAATATGCCCAAAAACCAAATTTTGAAAAAAAACTAAAAACATATAAACACGTGTTATTTTAAGTACCGATACACAGGCGTAACGATATTTTGAACCTTGATTGTGGCTAATGAATGTGTAGAAAAAAGAAGACAAAGTGGTAAGGCAGGGATGGTAATCAAGTTGGACCTGGAAAAGGCTTATGACAAAGTGGATTGGGACTGCTTGGTAGAGATTCTAAGCCTGAGAGGTTTTGGTAGAAGGTGGGTCAGATGGATTAGAGGGTGCAATAAGTTCTGCTTGGTTTTCAATTTCGATAAATGGTGAACCTACCGGTTACTTTATTGCAAACAGAGGCCTGAGACAAGAATGTTCTCTCTCCCCCCTACTCTTCATTTGGTAGCTGATTTCCTCAGTTATTTGCTTCAGAAAACAAGGGAGTTGAACTTGCTGAAAGGGTTCGTGGTAGGTAGGGAAGCAGTTCAGGTGTCTCATTTGATGTCTGCAGACGACATAATCTTATTCTTAGAGGCTGATTGGGATAACATCTCCAACCTAAAAAGGGTGTTAAAAAGTTTTGAGATGGTGACTGGACTTAGAGTTAACTCCACTAAAAGCAGTATTGTGGGTTTAAATGTAAGTGACTATCTCTAGGAAATGTTCAAGGAGCTGTTAGGTTGTAAATTGGAGAGGCTTCCCATTACCTATTTGGGAATGCCTCTTGGTGGGAACCCAAGAAGTCAAAGATTTTGGGATCTGGTGGTGAAAAAATGTGAGAAAAGATTGTCCATGTGGAAGAAAAGCTACCTATGAAAAGGGGGAAGACTTATAGTTATTAAGGCATCTCTTGCCAATTTGCCAACCTATTTCTTGTCGGTTTTTCGAGTCCCGAGCAAAGTAAAAAGTGTAGAGATAGTTAATAGGTTATTATAGTGTGTGTGGTTCCAGCCCCACACTTTATTTTACTGTTTATTTCTTTATGTTACAGTAGAAATCACTGATTGAAGATTTAGTCGAATTTCTTGTGAAAGGAAAGAGGAGGAAAATGAAGATTTCAGCAATAGAGAAGAAAAGAGGAGAAAAGAGTAGGAAGTCAACCAGGATTCTTAGATTAAGCCTAGCCGCCAACCCCTCATTATATTTATACTTAACATAAAGGATGAGATATTACAAGGATGCCATTAGTAGGGCGGCTACTAACGTAGCTGAACAGTCACAACTTAAAAACATAAACTAATGGGCCTAAAGCCCAACAACTTGCTAACTAAATAACTTCAAATAAGAATAAAAACAACTAGGCCCAACTCAACACTCCCCCTCAAGTTGGGAGTAAATGTCACAGATTCCCAACTTGTGTAGATCATGCTCCAGCTTGTTCTTTGCAACACCTTTTGTGAGAACATCAGCAAGCTGCAGATCAGAAGCAATGTATAGAAGACAAACTTCTCCAGAAGTTACCCTTTCTCTGATAAAATGTCTATCCACTTTAATGTGCTTAGTTCGGTCATGCTGGACTGGGTTATGGGCAATGTTAATTGCTGCCTGGTTATCACAGTACAACATCATAGGTTCTTCTGCCTATACACCAATTTCTTCTAATAGGGAACGGATCCAAAAAAGTTCTAAAACTCCATGTGCCATGGCCCTGTATTCAGCTTCAGCACTTGATCTTGCCACCACTATTTGTTTCTTACTCTTCCACGAGACAAG